AATTAATTTCTCAGTTATCACTTCCTTTATCATCCATTATCTTTCGAAATTGGGAGCGGTTTTACCATTTGTTTGTTAAATCCAGTAAAGTTTGGTCTTTATCCTTAATAATAAGCACATGCCTTTGAACATGGGTTATGAGTTAAGATTTACTGAATTAGTGATTGTTTTTAGTGGTTAGTGGTTTGCAGTTGAAATGCGAAAGTATTCCAGTATCTTATATAAGCAAGAAATGATGGCAAAAGTCTATGCTTATTGTCAATAAAGTGAGTATAATAATACAAAAAAAGACATAAAATATTAGAGTTGATTGTGTCCTTTCGAATAATTTTGATAAGATATTTAGTTTCTTCTATCAGTCCCAACTATTACTGCTTAGGTTAGTTTGGCTACTAGGCGTTTTCCAAGCCGATGGATGCCCTATGTGAGACTAACCTATATGTTCAAAATCTCCCCCACTGCATCATTTCGGGTCTTCGTTGCTTTTTATTTCATCTGTCACACTTATCTAATGCAAGTTTCTGCGCCATTAGTGCAAGTATTGGAAATAATCATGTAATTCCCGAATACATAGCTTAGACTTGAATGATTAAAATTCGCTAATGAAAACAAATTATCTTAATTGTTTGAATTTTGGCCTTATTTTTAAGCAAAAGTCTCGGTTTAACACATTTAAAACATGATAATTTCATATAAAATTTTAATAAAACATCATAAACATTATATATATTAAATTCTAAACATCCGAAATAGCAATAGCAATATTGTATCCCATTTCTTGTTGCGCCCATCCAAATTTGATATAAGAATAGATGAGAATAAGGCAATGATTAGATCGCCTGCCACGAAATTATTTTACTTTCGTCAGTCGCCTCGCTTTAGACGGGTAATGCGATAATAAATGAGACGCTGCACGATCAAAATTTTTTTATGCTCAAATTTAGGTAATTCAACCTTTTAAACCTTTCATATTATAAGGTAAAACAATATTTTGTTGCAACAGCTGGTTCATAGACGTCCATGAACCGCTGTTAGTTTTTTTGGCTAATAGTTGTGGATCGTGTCCAGACCAGGTGCAGATTCCCACATTTTAAACCCATTATTGGATGTTTGCAATTGCGATGGTGACTGGTACTCTTTAAAAATAAAAGCAAAGACCAAAAGAATAAAATATTCAAAAATAAATTCAAAAAAGGATCCGAATTTATTTAAAATTATTTAAAAATCATGGCACAAAAGAAATTAAGCGATAAAAATAAATATTCAGATATTCAGGTGATTGTGAACCTAAACGAGGTGTCTTGGTGGTTCGGCCATGGAAAACAGTCTTAAGAGCTGTGACAATTTTTCGAGTCTGTAAGAGGACATCAATGGTTGACCGAGATGCAAATGGAATCAACAAAGAAGCAATCAGATAAATGAACAGTTCTCTTTCACGGATCGGCATCGCCGATTCAAAATATTTGGAATAAACATCGCATTTTGCAACAAACGTTCATTCCTATCACAAAACAAAGAATAGATTCTTGGATATTATAGCCTCGAAATTATTGCGAAATTTTTATAAATTTAAAAAGTTGTTTTTTATTTTTATGTAAATTTTCATATTAGTTATTTCATATTTCTTCCGTCCATGTTCTTAAGAAAAACGAGAAAGCCGAGGAAATGTCAAATTTGATTGTTTGATGAACAAATGAATAAAAGAAAAAAAATTTACGAATTGAATAATTCAAAAAAAATGACTACTCACTGGTATCAAAATTTAATTCCCACAAGATTTTCTTTGGTTGATTTATGTCAATTATTGCGACTTATACGTGGATATTGGAGATAGAATGGCTCAGTGGGTGTTGCTCAGTTTGGAGCGCCGATGCTGAAATTCGATTCCGCAGGAGTAAACCTGTATAAAAAACTTACAAATACTGGTTTCATTCGCAATCGTTGTGAGTTTGGTGTCTCGAAAGAGACCAAAAAGGTTCTAATCAAGAAGCGAAGTGCACAGTTGATATTTAAAGTAATTTATTCTAAGTAAATGACCCACCAATCCTTTTGCATGATTCACCAATGGACTCCCTGGCATATTGGCCAATGCCACAAGCCAGCGAAGCGACTTTAACCAGTAACGGTGAGAACTCTTTAAAAAAAAATACTTGGATATTAATGCTGGTGGTACTGGATTGGTGTTGCTTAAACAAATTTGCAAGGTTTATATCCTGCACCGCAATTTCAAAAGCATGAACTACTGGAACTTGCCACCTTAGTCCTTTGGTATGCATAGTTGTTTTCTATTGCGTTTTATTTTATTTTTTTATTCTAATATTATTCTCAATTCATTAATTTATTAATACAGCAAATACACAGTATTTAATCTTTCTGGCTTTTTTTTGTAATATTCTTAAATTTTCTTTGTATTTAATCACAAGCACTTAATGTTCTTAGTTCTGCTTGATTGCTTTCTGTTTATTTATAAAATATGAAAAATTGCTTATTTTATCCATAAGCAATTGTTATCAATGGAAATAATAGAAAGAGCCAAAGTTTAACTTAGCTTAAAGCATCCCAGAATTCATTATTCCTTATGGAAGAAGGTTGATGCGAAGGAATTTATGAATTTAAAATACAACCGTTAAAAAGCATATCAATATCCGTGAAAAAGTGATCGATATAAACAGGAATTTTCCAAAAAAAGGAATTGGAGTTGATACGGATTTATGCGAAAAAATTAACACAAGTAACTCCTTGTGACAAAAATGTCTAACTGTACTAAAAAGCAGTGGATAAAGCTTAATGGAAACGGCGGACAACTCACCGGTTAATTACTTCAGTTATCCACGGCTTTTGTAAAACTAGTATTTTTAATCTTTTTGAATCAACATTTGTGCTGGAAAAATAATTTATAGGTAAATGTTATAAATTAATTAAATTAATGTTATAAATTAATGTTTACAGTAACATTGCAATATTTAAAATATGCAAAAATTTTAAAATAAATTTTTTAATTATAATTCTTTACATAGAATTTTATGAAGAAACTTTTCAAAGAAAACTTCAACATTACATGTGAAATCGTTCAATATAGTGACAAAATTCACTCGTTATCAGAAGATCTAAAGATAAATGATAAGTGGTGAATTATAAGCTTAATGTGGTGATAATAGTTCGGTAATTATTATATAATTATTATTATTATATATAAAAAAACATAAATTATGTATAATTATAATTTCTCCCCGATGAAAAAATTTGGCAATGTAGCAATAATTTTTTTTTTTTCATGAAACCAAAGTTAATTAATAAACAAGTGAAAAAAGTGGAAAAATAATGAAAATTTCTATATCAGCTGTTATTAAACTAAAAAAATTTTTACTATGCGTGATCATTGATGATCAACGATTTCAGAAAAATTTATAAATCGATTGTTAATACACCACAAAAACATTGATGTTTAACCTAAAATCAGTAAACTTTTTTCATTTCTAACTTTTTTATTCTCTAAAAAATTCCTTTGAACTTCATTTTCTATACATTTAACTTTAATTATGTAATTTTTCAGCTTTTTTCTTTGCAGTGCCTTCTTGTTTTTTGCCAAAATTCGAAAGTGAGTTAGAATGTCATTGTGGAAAAACCTTCGCAGCCGATTATCTCAGCTTCAATTAGCAGTACGTTGTTACAGAAAATTACCGATAAATGACCATCTTTTTGGACTGAATGAAGATCAGATCGCTGTAAGCTACCTTATATAATATATTTTCGTTGGGTAACACCCAGATTTCAGCTCTGTTGATAGGCGCATTCCGGTATGAATGAAACAAAGTCAGTAGGAGCTCAAGTTTAAAGAAATAAAAGTGGTCAGCACTCACCATTCGTGGTTAAGCTACTGGCTGGTCAGAAATGTTTGCCACAGAGCCACTTTTAAGGCGATAGAATATGGATCGCCAGCGCTATTCTACTCAAAAACCATTACCATACAGCAACCATTAAATGGACAAGAGGATTTTAAATTTTTTAAGTGACGTTAAATGTATTTTTCACAAGTCTTAGCAAATTTCAGCTGCGTAAATCCGTATTTGAATTCGTGCAACAGAAGTTGGCTCCATTTGCATCAGAAATCGATGAAAAAAATGATTTTAACAATCTAAGGGTACTTTCTTTATCGCATAAAATGATGGATTATGTAAATGCAAAGATCAGGATTTGATAATAATAGAATATTTGTAGAAATTCTGGAAAGAACTTGGAGAACATGGATTACTTGGAATAACAGCTCCAGGTTAGAGAAATTACGGCTGGTTCTAACAATTGCTAATTTTTATTTTCGTGTAGTGTGACTATGCTTGTTCTTGTGCTTGTTATTTCTTCACATGCTAAGGTTTCTTAATTATTGACACTTTATAAAAACTATCATAATAATTCAAAAATTGTGTTCAGTTGAATTTGGTGGATCTGGTTTATCTTATTTGGAACATGTTATTGCTATGGAAGAAGTTTCGCGTGCAAGTGGATCTATTGGCCTTTCATATGGAGCTCATTCTAACCTCTGTGTAAATCAGATTGTTCGTAATGGTAGCAAAAAGCAAAAAGAACAATATTTACCTAAGGTAAAGAAAAATTTTGCTTCTAACAGTTAATTTAATAGTTATAACTCCAATATTTTCAAATGAAATGGATGAACTTCTCTTTTTCCTAAGAACTCTCACCATTAGTGAGTTGGGTGACTTCGTTGACGACTGTAATAAGGCGTTTCCATGTTTCCCAATTCGATGCCTGAAATATCGGAAATAAACTGAAGTCAATTCTTTTGCCATCATACAAATCTAGTATATCACTGGGCGGCCTATGCGCTCAAAATGTTTCATCGTGTCTATCCAGATAGTGTCTATGCATCGGAACAGCCAAAAGCGGCGGAGGCAACGTTTAATGAACTAACACAGGTGGTGTTTAAGCGAAGGTTGCATGAAATAAAATAATACTCATGCAGCTAATATTCGCAGTACGTAATAGACGAATTCCTCATATCTTCTATTTTCACTGGTCATCTTACACAGTCGTAAAGAAGATTGTAGATTGAAGAGGGTCTTTTGAAATAATTTCGCGGTGATTCTACAAATGATTCGCCAGAAAAAAAATGTGACATAAGAATAAGATAATTGAAATCGATACTTGAAATAATAAAAATTTTATACAGAATGGTATTTTATATAGCATCTGGTTTAAAGAATAGACAAGAAATAAACAAGAATTTTAAAAAATTCTACTTATTAATTGATATGAAGGCCAACTTTGCAGCTCTTGTTGACATTTGTATTTGTATCATAATTCTGCATCATTATCAGCGAAAAAGACAACCAGTACCGTCAAGGTATTTAAGATTTGTGAAGCTATGCTCTGAATTGATTCGTGCACATTTTGAGCATTGACAAGCTTTGTTCATAATTCAGTCTATCGCAGAATTGAAAATTATGGAAAATGCTGGCCAATATTTGAAGAGTTCAGCTTGCAGATCTTTTATTGGTCTTAAATTTTTGAATTACAGAGATTATCTCGTGTTCGCTTGGTGATACGCGTTTGCAACCATAGGATTTCAAAAGTGTCGCAACATTGTCCTGACTTTTAGATGGACCATCGTACTTTCGATTTCGATTTCAATTATCTTATTCTTATATCACATTTTTCCATCGTAGATTATTCATTCTCAAAGAAACTCGACTCGAAGAAATCTTGCCATCTAATGAGATTCTTAATGGATTCCCATCGCTCTCTTTCGAAGCTGTCGATTATCGACTATTTGAACTACAGTCTCCATATTCAAGGCCATCACTCCACCACCGATTTTTACCTTGTCTTGCGAAACTTTTGTGAATCTGCAGATTCGCCCGATAGCTAATGTTTTCCTACATATGAGCTCTGGCACCTTGGCTGGACAGACAGTTGTTTCGCAATAGATCCAATGTTTTCGAGCGTAGTAGTTTTAGATTTGTTCTTAAGGTTTCAAATAGAAACCAGTGCTATCGACTTTCTTAGAGATGCTACTGATATTGCAGCTATATATACTGATATTGACGTTTTTTAATTCAAATTGTACCCATTTTCTCTGGATTTTTCGATGGGAACATATTCACTAAATGTTGCAAAACATTCCTTTAACAAGCCTAGAACCAACCGGTCATTAACAGGATTCCATGCAATTAAAATTAATCCAGTTCTTTTGGATATAACAGCAGTTGCGACTTTCCACTTCTCGAGTTATCCGCAGCATTACTGTAGTGCTGTTGCCGTTTTAGATCCAGAAAATGCACACAGTTAAGCGATATCCACAGGGTATTTGGATGAAGTGTGCATCCTTTACATTCATAATACATTGTTTCGTAAATAATAATACGCCGAAATATCCAGTTCAGATCTAATGCACCATTCATATTTTATTTTTTTATGATATAACCCGCTTGTCGAGAGGGAGTAGAATCCATGTTGCTTAACCTTAACAATAAATTTAACATTTGAAGCGAAAAGTTAAGAAGCAATGACCAGCTCTTCATCGCGTAGAGATCTATCTGACATTTTTTCATTGCCTTAAACCTTCTTCGTATCCGGCTTACATATCGCATCCACTAGTATAAAGATACTATATTGGGTTATTCTGATGCTGTTCGCAAATTAAATACTATGGATTCACCTGGGAATAGATATGCAAGCGAGATCCAGCGCCTGGCTTTCTGAAATCATTGTTCTTGTGAAAGTCAAAAAAAGGAAAACTAAAAAACCGAATTATTTTTAATTTTTTTATTTTTAATTTTCATTTACTTTTCTGCATTTTTTGTGATTCATCTTTAAAAAAAAAATTTAAAATTAACATTGTTTGTTGAAGTTCTAAAATGTTGCAAAAATAGTGTAACAATAATTGAACGATATAAACGATCGCTCAAGATTAAAACGAAAATTTTTCCACAAGTAGGTGAGTTTGGAAAATAAGTGAAAATATTTATAAATTCAGCTCATAAGTGGAGAACACATTGGGGCATTGGCCATGAGTGAAGTAAATGCTGGGTCAGATGTTCTTTCAATGAAATTACAAGCTGTCGAGAAATCTGACCATTATGTTTTAAACGGATCGAAGTTCTGGATAACCAATGGACCAGACGCGGACGTTGTTATTGTGTATGCTAAGACTGGTAAAAAAAAGTCTAATTACGGTGTCACTGCTTTTATAGTTGAAAAGGTTCGAAATTATATCGACAGCAACCTCATAAGATTTCAGTTAAATCTTTTGTATTTTTATGAACTTGATTATTATCCATGCATTTTTTTGACAAAAATGTTTCCGGTCTTAGTAAAATCTCACTGATTGCATCAAGAAAAAGGATCAGGTGCAATACAGTTAATGGCTGATATAAAGTCAAAAGTCCGGTGATTATAACTTCTCGTTTGTTTTTTTCTCCTTTTGCTTTTAATAACAACGGATTTCATCCAACATAAATGAAATGCTTATAGTTCAACTGCTTAATTAAACTAAATGATAAAGAGGAAAAGAAAGAAATAAAGAATTTAAAAACATATGAATTATTTAGCAATTCAATGGTTTTAAAAGCTCTCCGAAATTCACAAAACTGGGAATGCGAGGATCCAATACTAGCGAATTGATATTCGATGAATGTATTGTTCCAAGTTAGTTGTATTAATAGAAAAGTTTCCAGTATTATTCATAATCATATTTATAAAAGAAGCATCAGTAGTTGTAGATCGACAAAAATAAGGTTCACTGAAAAAGAATTTAATGAATTTTTATAGGGGAAAATGTTTTGGGTGAACCTGAAAAAGGTATTTATGTTCTTATGACTGGGCTTGATTCAGAGCGACTCGTTCTATCTGGAGGACCACTTGGGTATCTCATTTTTTCTTCCTATCTTATTAATTTTTTATTAATGCGAATATTAAATGGAATCGCTAAAACCCCATCCTTTAATGGATTAACAGTTCAAAATTTGAAATGGTTTAAAATTTTGATACCAGCAATTAATTCGCAAATATGAAAAGGCGCTTAAGGGAATTTCAGATTAATGCAAGCGGCTTGCGATTTTTCCTTTGATTACGCACATCATAGGAATGCCTTCGGCAATAAAATCGCCAGTTTTCAGGTTTTCCTTTTAAAGGCTTTTTCTATTAAACCAAAACTTACCATAAATATGTGTAGCTGAAACATATTCCACATTCTTTAATGAAAAAATTTGTCCGATTTGTATTTCTTTTATTTGAACATGTGCTGTTGCGTTTAACTGGAACAAGAGAACTCCTCTCTTAAATCTTCTATTATTATTATGTTGATTATACCCGCCAGTAGTTCGCCAATTTGCCAAATAAAGGTAAATAAGGGTAAGGGTATAAAAATTTCCAAATCTTAATTCAGCTAAAATTTCAGTTAATTGCGAAAGAGTTCAAATTCTCTATTTGCTTCTCTATTCGATTCATATTTCATTTCAGCAGTTTTGACTTGTTTTCATATTTGTGAAATCGTTCTAAAACGAGTTATAATTTTTATAGCGGTTATTCTTTATGCATATAAATCATATTTTTTTGCAGTTGATACAGGCAAAAATGGCAGATATGTATACCACACTGTGTGCATGTAGATCGTACATATACGGTATTGCTCGTTCTACTGCTAATGCCAATTTAACCAACAAAGTAACTGCTTTGTTCCAAACAAATTTCAATGCTTAATACATTATTTATCATTGGATACTTTTAGTTTATGAGCGGTAGAATTCTTTTTTATCTTAGATGTTGATATACTAGATGTTATACGAGTTTGTTTTTTCTTTAATTTCTTAGCTCCAGTGATGGGCGAAAGGATACGTGCACAGTTAAGGCTATTTTAAAGGTTCCTTCGGCTTTGACTTCGGTCAAAAAATTGCAACCGAAGTCTGAAAGTTCCGAAAAATACGAGTTAATTAATTATTTTACTAATTCCCCTTATTAACAAAGGTATTGCAAATTTCATATTGGTTGGAAAGTATTAAAAGTTAAACTGAAAAAAAAATAAAATGAAGGTACTTGTGGATCGCGCATTGATCCTTAAAAACTATTTTTTCTCCGATAACTTTTATATTTTTTTCATTAACAAGAAAAATGATGTTTTATTGTATTAATACATTTATTGAAATATCAAAAATTTTCATTTAAAAAGATTTTTGCACATAAGGGAAATTTTTAGTTCATCTGGCTGAAGCTATTTAGGTGGAAATCTGGTTGATACTCTTGTTTTCTCTGCTTCGAACCTGAAGGGCTTACGCCAATTAGGCATTCTTATTAGGCATTCCTGATCGTGCACAATATAGTCTATAAAACCTTAGAAAATTCGACTGTAGTGACTAATAAAATCTCTCTTAAGCTGGTCCGTTGTGATCTTCTTCCTCTAGCAGTTCTCATCATTACTGGTTAGGCTGGCTCTGCTGACTACAAGGATAAGATGATCAAGCTGCTTGATCGATGTCATTGATGATAATAATAGAAGCCATTCCTTTTGCCATCGTCTAAGTCGATATATTGCTGGTCCACCTATACATTTAGTCAGGACATGATTGATTCACCTTGCCTTGACGCCATCCATCACACAGTTTTAGCATGTAACGAAATATATGTCTCTTATAGTGGACGACGAAGAAGATACCCTAACCAGCGAAGACGACGTTATATGATGGTTCGATGTTAATATGAGCGGTATTTGAACGAAGGTGGATGCAATTATGTGAATTTTATCCATTCGATGAACCGTAAAATGTACCTTAGATCTTAGTGGTCAAAGGTAGGTAACTTATTATCTCTTATTATCCTCCACTCTCCTTCACTGGCCATGCAGCAATATAACAAGATCGAGCGAATCGCAGCTATACGGATTTTCGTTTTATAGTGATCAACCAGAGGGAAGCATTTCTGGCTACTATTATCCGGGTTGTAATTCCGTCCTTCCCATCCATTCGGTATTAGAGTGATCCAAGGTATTTAAAATCGGTCGTTTCTTCAATCGACATTGGATTTGAAACGATGTTCCAACACTTTTTAACATGAATACCTGGTCAGCACAACCACGTCCCCGTCTAAATCCAGTTTGGTTAAGGTGTATCACGCTATCTCGTATTGCCATTAATCTAATGAGGGAAGCAAAAATTTTCGTTGAGACGTCTAGTAGGTTGATTTCTCGATAATTGCCATAGTATATTCTGCCATCTTCTTGGTGACAGAATTGCTTTGCTCTACTATGCTATTATTTCTTTCTTCCGTATCAGAGAGTACATTTGTTGAAGATTATTATATTTGTTGTGTTATGAAGGACAATGGATTATGCATGAAGAATTTATCTTTTTCCAGAGTTTTATTGGCCTTAAGCTTATGGAGATCGGAAATTATTTCCTCTTGCATTTCGCAACAAATATAAGGTTCGACGAATGAATCAGTTATGTTCGAGGCAATAGAGGGTGCGCCATGGTTAAGTTTGGCCTCAAAGGATTCCTTCAATCTTATGAGACAATCATTAATAGTCTTAACAGGTACATCATTATTATCCCGTACCATTTCATTGTAACTATAATCCACGAATTATAGTTGCTTTATGAAGAAGATGGAATAGTTTACTACTGTCGCCTAATCGAGAGCGTCTCTAAAGCCATGTTTCTCCAATAATGTCTTCCCGCCCTGCTATTGTCGTTGTAATTCTTTGAAGGATCCGATAGCCAGTTCATATGACTTTCAGGCAATGGCAGCCTTTTCAGACAGTGGATGGCTGCTTCCGATACCCAAATATTCATTTTCTACTAATACATCCTAGTATGGAAATGGCTGACTTTCGAAGAGATGCCTTTATTTTGGACTAGTATCCATCTACTGTTCCAGAAAAATCATTGATATTCAAATTAGTGTTCTAATAATTCAATTTGAAAATATTCATTGTCCCCAATTCTTTTCGTTTGAGGTAGTTGATAGACCTTGAGAGACGCTATTTCCTACGAGTTTTTAATTTTTTGCGATCTTGGCTCGAAGCATAACATGGTCATGGCCATGATATGAAGATTGCCCCTTTTAGCGCTGCGATAGGAACTAGTATGAGACTTTTCCAACGGCGACTGATTAAGATATAGTCAATCTGGTAGAAGTGTTTGGTTATACGAGGGGTTCCACTTGACTAAATGTCTTCTACGATGCCGGAAGCATTTGTGTTAACAAAAAAGTTCATGCTTTTCAAAATAAAAAAGGCATTCCCCATTGGCGCACTGATGCCATATTTATGATTTGTCGAATTGAAGTTTCGCATAGTACTTATGAGTACTCACGGTCAATTGCAGAAAAAGTTGGAGCAAATACACTGATGACCGAGATATTGCAGAACTTACTTTTAAATTGGGCATAGGCCATAAATCGCTTACCGGTTTCCGCCTAATCAAAATGAAATAGGCCTTTTTAGACATGACAATCGCTACACCATTATTTGAAGGTCGTTGCTTCTTTTCCTATTTCCTTCTTCTATAATTCAAAAATTTATGCAATTAACTTTTTCAAAATATTTTACTTGCTGCTCCATTCATTAGCCAAAGAATCACCTAGGATCGAAAATAGTACCGAAAACATTTCTTTGGCAAAAGAACGAAGAACGTATGTGGCATAAGATTCTGCCAATTTATAGAGGAAATGAATATCAAAAACTGTGGACTTTATAATGGATGAGGCAATTGTTAAACGAAAGGATATTCTGTTCATTTGACAAAGACATAACCATACTCGATATCTAGTATTAGCCAGAATAGCTCAAAATTGTTTGACAATATTTGCAGAAATAAGTCACCTGAGCAATTTTTCAGCAAAGCGAAAGATATTTTGTACAAGTCGTAGAGCATTTCTAGTGCCTAAAAATGTAGAAATGTAGAATTTTTTTGAAACCAAAATCTTGTTTAAAACCTTGTTTTCACTCAACACTTGTTAAATTCTGGACAAAAATAATAAAATTTAGCGTATTTATTCTTAATAAAACCTTTGCCTTTGGCTTCGACTGAAGATCAAGATGTCCTTCGGTGTGTTTCGGTATGTCATTCCTATACATAGTATGCTGTGTTTAAACTATCTGTTAGAAGGACCATGAGATTGAAAATCTTTGTGCCACTATCCGTTAGAAGGACCATGAGATTGAAAATCTTTAAAATTTTTTCATATTTCAATTATGCAACGAAAAAATTAATTGTATTGAGTTCGTTCAGGATTCAGCTGGTGTTATACTTTATGCTGCTGAGAAAGCCACACAAGTTTGTTTGGATGCTATTCAAATACTTGGTAGGTCCAGATATTTGTAAATGAAATCGAATTTGATTAATTTTTGCTATCAAATTTATATAGATTGAACAATTTTTAATATGAATTAACCACTTAACTTGGCGTTCATTTTACTCTAAAAAATCCCATGGCCAGAATGATCGAGATCATTGGTTCAATTGAGATTATGCGGCATAAACTCAATATTTTCGGTTTTTCTTAGTGGGGATAAGCCTCTTTAAAATCTAGGCTATCTCTGTTTTATCCCCACTTGATGAAAGGATTTTATCCAAGTAATCAATACTGCAAGCCGGACCAGGAGTAATGGGTCTAAAGCAGAATAAGAAGAGTCTTTGCCAGTATATATGACGATGTTTACTGTTTGAAGAAAGTAGCCCTTATTTTAAAATCTAACAGGTTACTTGTTTCCTTATTATTATTTTTATTCTTATTTTTTATTACTTTTTTAAATAATTCAATAACAAGCAATGATAAATAACTATTTCTTTATTTTGAAACGAAATTTAGCATCCAACCTGAAATTAATGTTGATTTCATTGATTTCAATGTATTGAGGCCAACAATAGCATTCACAAATGAAATAGATAAAATTTTTCCTAATCAAATTCTTATAGAAAAGGTTGACATTTTGTTCCTATTTTTTTGCTTTATTTATCCATAAAAATATCTTTTTAATAATTTTTAAAATTGCTCCAACGAAAAAAAGCATTTTCAGGTGGAAATGGTTATGTTAATGATTACCCAACCGGGCGCTTTCTAAGAGATGCAAAACTTTACGAAATCGGTGCCGGAACATCGGAGGTAATATTTTTTCATACATAAGTTTGGCTAGCATCCTGTTTTCCTCATTTTTCCTCGAAATTTTCTTATTTTATTGGTAAAAAATCATCGCAAGTGAAATCGATAGATCAATTATGTTAGATTCGAAGATTTGTGATTTTCAGATACGTCGTATATTAATTGCGAAAGCTTTAAGCAAAGAATGGAGTTGATAAGAAAATTGAAAAAAAATGAAAAAATAAAAACTGATGAATAAAAATTGAACAAAAATGTTTAAAAATATTAAAGAATAAAAATTTTCGCGTATAAGAAAGTTATTTTGAATATTTTGTGAAAAATTGAAAAAAAAATTTTTTTGTGAAAAATTTTTCTCCAATCATCACGCACTGTTTCATAACAGTTATTCTTTCGCGCACATTCTCTTTCACACAGAATATTTGCAAGCGACCAACGAGCGATGAGTTGCAGTATCAACGTGCTCGGTTCACTGCGTGAACATATACTATAAGTTCTTTTTGCATAAATCTATCTACAAACATTAATTTGATGACCTTCACAGGCAGGCCAAATAAATCATTGTCTTTGCAGCGTATAAATCGACCCTTAAAAATGACCTAAGCTAATCGATTTGGAACCCTTACATAAAGATTTTGTTGCATTTTTATTTGCGATTGTGATTGTTTCAATTTATTTGCCATGTTCGTTAATTATGTTATATTATTGTGTTATATATTACCGTATAAAACTATTATTTCGAATAAATTTGTTTACGATTAATAACTCTTCGAGGCTTACAAGTGAAAAGTTATTGTTGAAAGATTAAGAAAAATTTTTTAATTATTTTCAATTATTTTTTCGACAACTTGTAAACGTGCATCTAAATATAATCTAAATGAGAACAATGCTTGCATGGTGCAGGGACGACACGCTAATTTAGAGTTAATAAAAAATTAACTGCCGATGTCGATGTCGAAAGAATCATTTAAAATTCATTAGGATCATGTGGGAAGGAATGTAGAACTATTTAAATCTGTGTTGAATAAGACTTCTCGATATTTAATCATTTAATCGAGAGAAACATTGCAAATGTTAATTTGTTCTAAAATCTTTTATACCAACGATGACAACTATATTTCCACATAGTAATACGCCTTGGGATCTTTTGTTAATGCTCGATTTCTATAAAATATTGGCCGAATAGCTTTCATTTCCTGAAATAGTTTTCAAAAATTGTTTCTAAAGGCATGGAAGGCTTCAAGAGTTTGAAGAGGCTAATCGATCATACGAGTAAGAAATTGATATCTTGCTATTTGTTAAATCCTGTGACGTCTTTAAAGGAGCCATCAAGACTATCATTTAAGACTAGCAATTTTGAACCCAGTGATATATGAGTTTAGGTTGTGGAAAGAGAAGTTCAGAAAGATTTCAGCTTTCAGATACGGTGCCAAATCGGGAAATATGGAAACGCCTTAGCCTAGTCACCAATAGAGCCACTAGTATGAACCATTAGAAGAACTCAAGTTAGTCGCCTTTTTTTTAATTATTCCCATTATATATAATTTAAATATTTTTGAAATTTTGATATATTTCAGTAAGAAATCTGTGTAAAATCATTGTTTTTTAGATTATACCATATCAAAGGTTATTTTTGTTTATAAAATTAAATTTTATAAATAAAAAATCAAATCAAGCAAAATCAAACAAAAAAATTTAAAAAATTCATTAAAAACTATATTATTATGTGACATTTTACGAGAAAAATTTAAATTTTTTTTATTATAATTCATTTATTTCAAATCATGATTCAAATCTATCTTTCAAAAAATCCGAGTGCTGTTGGTGGCCATCTACTTCTGTCGGCAAATGGCTCTGGTAAAAATTTGTCTCATCCGATAAGCTAGAGCCATATCCGACGGAGCTAAACCAGAAATGGTTAGCGGTCTTCAAAAAAAAGTTCATTTCTAAGGAAAAGGCTTTTAGATAACTTATTGCATAAACTGATTCCAATAATTCTATAAATCTTATTTCATTTGTCGAAGTTTGTTCATTATTTTAAAAATAAAAAGTTGATTTTTCAATAAAATTATATAAAATTATAAAAAAATAATACAAATTTTTTAAATCTTTTTTAACAAAAATTTATACAGTATTTATGGGCATTCTTTCCAGCCAAAAATCATTTGATCGCTTGATTTGATTAAACCGTTTACCAAATCGGATGATTGGCTCTCTTAATCCACTCGCGCTTCGTCTGGCCATTGCGCATTCTATACATTCCTTTGATTATTAGTATTTCTAATATTTTTAAATTTCTCATTTTTTAAAATATTTTGCGATTTCTCGCTACTTCTAATAAAATAAACTTGGATTTGAAGTATAAACTTAAAATGAAATTTAAAAAAATTAAAATTTAAATTGAGTTAATTTGCACTGGAACGAAATCTGAAATTTCGTTGATGTTTGACGTCTGTTGAAATAATTGAAAAATTCATGAGTATTCAAAAATACATTTAAAAATTGTGCAAAAATGTTCATATCGTTAATTTGGTTCGATTCCCTATTGTTGATGCGTGTGAATAACCTGCAAGTCCAAATGGTGCTGGTGAACGGCCAGTACTTCGCCAGGTGACTCCCTGGCAAACATTTCTAACTGTAGTTATATCTTAAGCTGCCTTAAGCAGAAATGATGAATTCTAACCACTTAATTCACTCGCTTCACTTCCACTAATTAAGTAATGGAATTTATTTTTATTAAAATAGGTTTACGGTAATAAAAGTAAGAACGAAATGTATAATGAAGCAATTAATAATTTATGAGTTTTTTTCCACAGTAAATAACTAGAAAAAAATTTGTTTGTGAAAAAAGTAATTATTCACTTGCGGTGAATAAATGTAAATATGGTGAATTTTACAAATGGCGAGAAAAATTTACTTGGATTCATTTTCCCACACTCTCCATCGAAATCTAAAGAATGAATGAATGAAGAAATTTTTATGACAAAGCAACATTAATGGTATTAGTCGAATGTGGGTAAATTATAGAATATTTAGGTAATTCAAATTTTTCTGGAAAATCATCCACTGAATACGAAAAAACTGCCGAATAACTTTATTTCCTCAGGCTCTTTTTTTAATCTTTTCGATTCATTTTCATTAATACAATTTATTTTCATTGAATATCTGCGGAAGTAAACGATAATAACGAAAGCCAAAGAGACCGAACTTTAAGCAGTGAATACTATTGAATTTCAGTATTGCACACCAAACTTTGCAAAATCCTGGACTGATATTTTAATCATCTCATAGAAGCTAAGATAGATTGGATCGTTAATACTCAGAAAATGAGGCTTTCAAATTTAGATAAATTTCAAATCCAAATTCAGTATTTTCCATAGTTAAAAAAGGTACTTGTTGTTTTTTTTGGCGAACAGGATAAATATATGCGGATGAAAATAGTGCAAGATAATCAAGTGCAGTATTGCTTCTATTAAAGTTAAGCTTATGGGCACACTTGCACTTCTATCATAGGTGACTCTTTGGCGTAAGGATCTCATCCTAATATCCAGCAACGTCAACCAAACTAAAAATAGCAAGAATCTATAAGAAGATATCTGCTATATACTGTGAACGATTTCACGGTACAAAAAATGTTTTGCGAAAAACCAAATTTCTGAGGAACCTAAATGAATTGAGAAGAGAGCGATAATTTTTGATATTTTTATGTAAGGCTGATCGTAAAAGGGATTTTCAACTGGAGATGTATAAATTATGGCGACGTACATTCCGGTTCTTGCATTTCAATCTGAGCAAAACCGTGTTCAAACCACACAAAACTGATTAAAGCAGTAACAATCATGTAATGATAATAGCCCGTTTGATCACCGAACATCTGAAATTCTTTTCTATTTATTAATTAAGAAGGAAACGATGCTAGTTTCAAGCTACGAATTTACTCAGAATTATTTATCGCTGCGACAATAGCTAGTAAAACTTAATTTTTATATGAGCATCAGCAATATTTATACTATAATAATAATAATAATAAATGTTCAATAAGCGAATAAAAATGAGAAAAAGGAAAGAATAGAAATGCTCTGAATGAATAAATGCATTTATATAAATTCAGATGGATGAGCCATTTCTTTTTTTGACAATTTTTTTTTGTCATTGTGTCACTTAAGATGACTTTGGCACGCGAATCGTTGAAAACATTATGAAAAAATTTTATAATTCCAAAAAATTTTTAGGCTTCTTGACAATTCATCATAATTCCTTGAAAATATGAGAAATCATTTTCTGACATATTTTGAATTATTAAAATATTGTGAAAGCGTTGGACAAATTTGATATCAATAAAATTAGCTTTGGACCAATATTTTTTTCGTTTTTTCCAGGAAATCCGAAAATAATGTTTGAAACAAACGCATAGAATTTTAAAAACTGTTACGTGAAATTCCATTATTAAATCAAAAGAATTCAAGCAATAACCATGAGTCATTGAGTTCTATTCAATTATTTGCATGCTTACCATGTTGATAGATTTTCTAGAAAATTACTCCCTTCTAATTTCCAAGTCCATTCTTTCCTTAGCATCCATCAAATTAAGCAGCAACCCAGATTTGCAGTACTTCTATAGATGTGCCTCTCAGTACTTTGAGGAATTCTGAAGTATATCCAATAAATTGGTGGACTGCAGAACTGTATAGCAACGGATGTAAATGGTGCTATTCTTCGCACTGCAGTGGCTATTGCACAGTAGCAAAAAAGAAAAAATTTCTAAAAATTGATATTCAGAATTTTTTTAAAAATTAAGTGAATGAATTATTCAGAAGCGAAGTTCCTATTTCGAAAAATATCCGTCCAAGCCATTCATTTCATTGACATTAATAACTCACTGATCACCTTAAAATTAAACGTCGCGAACTATAACGAAACGTCATGCATCCTTCAATATATTTCATTGATTTTGTAGGACAATATGAGACGAACTGCAAAATAATACTATTTCATTCAGCTCATATTTGTTATATCTTCCCTCTCAAGCGATAATTAAAACAATACTCTTAAAAATTTAATTAAAAATTTGGCGAAATTTTGAGCGAATAAATTTTGAGCGATGCGTACAGATCATAAGCTAAGCATGATAGCTGAATGATTGTTGCTCAGATTACTCGCACGAGCACCAAGTTTCCCACCAAAATCTCCTGTAGGAAAAAATCCGTCATTAAAGATCCAATGACGTTTATTGGATGATTTTTTACAAAAATTTAAACCACAAATTCATAATGATGTCTATTTTAAAGTGTTCTTTTTTTATAAACAAGCTTGTTTATTACTGCCACAATTATTCACCGAATTGCAATAAACGAAAAGAACAGGAAACAAAAAAAAATTTATTTGTGTCGATTTAAAATTCCACCAAAAAGAATATCTAAAAAAACTTCCTATAATTTCATGGAACAAAAAATTATCTATTGGCATGCATACGACATAATCTTGAAAAAATAAATCCTAAAAATTAAATATGCTCAAGTTAAAACAACTAAAGAGATTCTCCAAATAACTAAACAATGAAACTGTATATCGATATGAATATGGTAACAGACAATGACATGGAATGGCAAAAGCAAAATTAATCACAGAAAAAGCAAGAAAAAAAGGTAAAAATGTGAAAAAGGATATTGATTCCTATTTTCCCAATGGCTAAGAAAAGGCATAAGATAAAAAAATTAAAAACTTCCAAAAATTTTCCAAAATATCCTATTAAAAACAATAAAACGATTTGTAAAACATATACCAAGGAAAGAATGCAAACAGTTTCAGTCAAAAAACAAACATAATAGAATAAAATTAAAGTTTTAAAAGAAAATTAAAAAATCTAGTGGAATTGAAAAAAAAATTGGACATACGGACAGAAACGGAATGTACAGTTATATGAGTTCTTTGTTACAGAATAATCTGATAAAGGAGCATTTAATCAAATTTGGCTACTGGATGTCCAAAAAGTGAGTGAAGAATCTGAAAACTATCATAACGAAAGGAAAGACGAAATATTCCATGGTACTTACTGAAACATCTCTTTTCAAAATTATTAAATAAAAATTAGCCAAGTAGGCATTGATGATCGTAAAATGTGCGAAAAAAACTCACGGATGCAAAAAACTGATGAACAAAACAAGTTGAATTCGGACCAATTCCATAAAAATGGTAATCAGAAGGTTTTACTAATTTTCGTTTAATGCGAGAATGAAGTGAAATGTCGGGATTCGTTAAAAAGTTATATATGAGGCCTATCCAGCTCGAATGAACCAGCCAATCCGAATAATACTCAGGAGCGACAGCCCTTATCTGCAAATAATTAAAAGGGAAGAATTAATATTATTGATAGAGAATGTCTGATTTGAAATAAACAAAATCATACAGCCATGCATATGTGAAATGAAAATTATTGCAAATTTTTCTTATAGATTTTATAAATTTTATGCTTATAAATTTTTTCACTGTATATGAGAATAAAATAATAAAAACATACTTTTGGAAGATTCCTTCCACAAACAAAAGGAAAATCGTGGTGTTCGATATGATAACCAACATTAAAAGTGACAAGATTTATAGGACCGTAGTAGCTAAAAATAAAAAATGCGACATTTAAAAAACAAATTATTTAGTGTAACAATATAAATCTGAATATTTCAAAATTTGAATTTAAAATTAAAAATTATGCACTGGAAAGCCCTGCTAAAAACGTATTTAGTAGTTCATTTCTTTTCACTGCTACTGATTAATGCTAATTAGAGCTACTTTATAGTTAAATAAATATTGAGAAAAAAAATTAACCTATATGTTTCTTGCCCAGATTTGAAAACATAATGATCAGAAATATAATGTGCAGCTAAAGGATGGAGCCCTGAACCAACAAAAAAACCACCTAATAGGAATGCGACACTTTTCCAACCGAAATAAACCACAACAAAATAGTCTACGATAAACTGAACAATGCCATTCAACAGTTCGAGATCAGTTATAGCCTGAGAAACCACTTCATATGCAATTTTTAAATAAAATCATTTCCTCTAAAAAAAATGTTGAAATTGAAACATACAAAACAGCTAAAAAATTTATTAATAAACATATCCGTTTATCTTTACCTTTTTATATATTATGAAAGGTCTAAATGCATAGAAAAAAGGTTGAAGGAACATCCAAAGCGTTTTGCCTGCAGTATTTTTGAAAAGTCGAGCTTCCGTTTCTGTTGGAATATCTGTATCCATTACATCTTCACCTACATGAGGAAAAATCAGTTTAAAAAAGAGAAAGCGGAAAAAACAACTGGCCAAATCCTTATTGAAGCCAGTAAATGATTCATGTACCTTATTACTTAAATTAAAATTATTAAATGCTGACACTGGAAATCACAGAACTGAAAAAACAACGAAAAGTTTCAATTGAAACTTGAAAAATTATAATACCCATATAACGATGATGCTCCTGGTGATATTTCTTAAATGAAACTGACATCGGCACAAGCATAGGTAAATTCGCTACGAAACCAAACAGCCTATTCTACAATCCGCAAGATCAACAAAAAAAAAGAAATGATTTGGAAAATTTGATTTAACAACCTTTATTCATAGTAATCGATCAGTAATATCTTAATGCGATCACTTAACCTATTGGAAACCAAGAAAAAAGTGAAAAATTTTGCTTTTGAAATTTCAAATAAAAAATAACAAACAGCAAGGGGATAAGCGCAGCCGAAAGCCATATTATGCGAAATCTCGTGAACTGCTAACGTAAGTGAGTGGTTTATTGTTCCACTAACAAAATAAGCCATGAGACAGATTAAAAGCCAATCAGAATCTGCAAAAGCAAAGTGGGTCGCTACGACAATAAACTTTTGACGAATCTTTTTACTCATTTATAAAAAAAAAAATAAAAATAGATAAACGATTCCTTTCTAGAATTTAGAATTTTTCATCCTAAAAGACGACAATAAAATAGCAAAAACATTTAACCTTTCAGCAGGAAAGCAAACGTGAATTGAGCAATGACCATCATAACAACGACATATTTAAATGAATAATCGATTCCAAAATATTCCTTTAATGAGGGATATTTCTCCAGCATCTCCTTTCTCCTGAAATCACCTCGACTAATCAACTAAAAATGTTTCGCTGATAAAACATTTAAAAGCGAATTAATTTAGATGAATAAATTATTGGATTTCAAACTATTAGGATAACTATTTGAATGAATTTTTTAATAGGTTAAACGATAGTTGCTTCAGCTGAGAGCGAAACAGGATTGCTTCGATTCTCGCCTCTCCAAAAGTAGCAATTTTTTACGAATGAAATTTGTACGGCCTCTATTTAAATAAGCTAAATAAATCTCTGGTGGAGGCGTCTTATTCCGATGGCCGACGAAGTAAGCCAAATTGGAAAAGAAAAAATCAGCTCGAAATGAATTTTTTAATTCGATATTCTGTGGAAGTGTAAATAAAAAATTTAAGGCAGACCTAGTAGCGTGAGGTTCTTGCGTATAAACCCAATCGAATTCATCTTTCTTCTTTGCCATTCTTTTATTTATTTACTTGTTTATTTATTTTGAACCTGCAAAAACCATTAAAACATACTAATTTAACTAAATGAAAATGGCAGATGAATAACCAAACGAGTAAATTCTAAATTCAAGGTGTGCCCTTACAATGAGCACGATGAATGCCAATAGATGATGGACTGAAAAAAAAGAAAAAGAAAGTTTATAGAGCAGTATTATCAATTTATAACAAGCCATTTCTTCTTTTTTTTCTTATTTTTCTTATTTTTTTCCAAACACTGTTCACCATTTCCGACTGGGGCTCGTTTAGGAGCCATTTAGCGACAAAACGAAATAGTGGTGCCAGCGGAAGTAGAAGTCCAGCACCGGCGCTCTGAAATGGAAATAACAACCCGCTGAGTTGTCCAACCCCCCCCCCCCCCCCCCCCCCGAAATTTTTCCTTTTCTCAAATGCACACCATTTCTGGTTTGGCTGCTTTCCATTGCCAACTTTTGTGTTTTCTCATGAGACTAAAAATAAAAAGTGAAAAACGAAATAACTAAAATACGCACAAATAAAATCTAAAATAATCGTAAAAAGAATTCTATACGGAATTTTGAAACATTGAAAATAAGGCAAAAGAGTAGGAAAAATATGAAAAATGAATTGAAATTTTCTCGATATATTTGTTATATATATTTCTCGATATATATAAAATAATATTTATATTTTACATATAATTTGAAAAATATGAGCAAAAAACTTATGAAATTTTTTATAAAAAAAGAAAATTTTAAGAGAAAACGAAAAAAAGAAAAACGTGACACTTCGAAAATGAGCATCGGGGAAGAGAAAGGGGGGAAGTGGAAAGATGCACATGTGGTATGTTGATTCGACGGTCAAGCATCATGAGTTCCACTCTCTCCCCTCGACAGCCTAAAAGGATTCTGGAAAAGCTGTGCCCAACAGTGCTTCTGACTCTCTTCTGGTGGATGAATCTCAACTTAGTAGTGCGCAGCCAAAGCAGAAACGATACAAGTAAGACTGATATTCCCATTTAGCTTCGCTTCACCAATTATTAGCGAGACAGCAGTTTAGCGAAAAGTACAAATCGGCTCGCCGCACCATCCGAATTTTTTAATGATAAGCTCCCATCCTATTTTTGATTTTTTCATTTTCTCACACTAAAATTTGATAGTACTTTCAATTCCATATTATTATGTAAGCAATTCTGATAAGCAACGCTGCCAAAAGAAATTACAGACAAATTCGCACGCTTCCCAATGTATTCTCCGACGTAAAGAAGACACCTGCGGGCTTCTTCAGATTCCGCCTTCACAATCTCAAAACAGCCCTTATCACTTCTAATTTATTACTTTATCAGACTGACGGAGATCCATTGAAAAATATGCAAACAACTTGGATTTATGCAAATTATTAGGTATGTACCGCTCAATGGAACCGTAAAATCTAGGAAAAGTAATCCTGAGAAATTCTTATTACTTATTATTAGTTATTGAAAAATATTGAATAGTTGAATAGTAAATCAAAGTTCACCACAACAAATTTATTTATTTCAGCTGAATTTTAAAGGCTCGGCCGATTTATCGGAATTACTTGTTACATAACGTTTCTGATTTGTTGGCCCATTTTGTTGCTGGTTGGGGGGAAAGGGTAAGCTGACGGGTCCCGCGGGTTTGGTTTGAGCCGTAAAGCTTGTCATTGCTGTTGGGGAATAAAATCGTGGTATGTGAGGAAGGATATTTACTTTTAGCAGAAGCAATAATGGAAGAAAAAACTAGCGTTCACCTGCATTTTTTCAGCATACAGCACACTGACCCGCTCATCTAAAGGCAGACCAGGTGAGGAGGCATTTCTGATGGTTCAGGTTCGGTTCATAAATACCTTTGTGGTTATCCTTCTTCGAGATGGTCTCGCATAGTTTACGGATCCTAGATCACCCATGCCATTTACCAGTGATAACCCAAATGTGCTTTCCTGAGCAATTTTTAATGGACACTTTGTCGGTACCTTTGTCGGTATGAGACACATATGATAAAGGTCTAGCTTAACAAAACATTTAGACAGTGGTCAGAAAGCTGCTTTATCTCACTGATATCTTAGAGATATGCGAATAGTAAATATTACCATTCGGCCAAATCCTATGAAAAGTACTGAAGTACCGGAACTGAAGGCTTCTTTATAAAACTAAGTAACTAACTAAGTAAAGCCGAGTTTTCAAACATTGTAATTGGTACCTTGAATAGTCTACTCATAATCCAGCAGTTTGTCGGTACATTGTTTCTAAAACTAAACGCATTTGCATTTTATGCAAATAATCTTATCATTAGTACAAATTTATCGATGGATGAGAATTTCTTTGATACCCTCATAAAGTGAATATTTGTTGTCCCACATGATCAAATTTCCTATGTAAGAGAAATATCTTAAGAAACAAGTGAAATTTTCTCGCATTTACGAGCAATATGACAGTTGATGCACGAAAAACTTTATGCATGTGATCGGAAATATTTTAAATATTTCAATATTTAAAATTTAATATTTAATTTAATTTCAATATTTAATATTTTAAATATATTAATGATGATAACTAATAACTAATAAAATGGTAATGATAATTATAATAAGTGAGTATATCCAACCTTCATCTCTTTCTTTTTACTAAAAAGGCATGTGATAGAAGCATGTAATGCATAAAAATTATTTCGAAATTTTGTGGAGCCATTTGAGAAGCAACACTATTAAATCAGGAAATTTTGATCTTGCTCAATAACAACAGCCAAATTGTTAATCCGCTTTACACATTCGAATAAACATCACTCTTCTTACTAAATTTTCCTATCACAGTGACAGACTTTATTGGTTTGCAGCATTATCGGTTGGTAACTTTAGAATTGATAAATTGGTTTCCAAATAGAAAATATTTGGAATGATTATGATTATTATGTTCTTGAACATTTCCAGTCCTAACAATTTCACTAGGGTTGGCCGAGTGGCATGTTACGTAGTATGAAGAAAAGGCATGGGCTGGATTCGCCATCTTTGATAAAACAAACTTGTCATTAAAAGCGAAGCCCATGTAACATTGGCGACTTGTAATATTCTATCCAGATGATTCTCTGGCAAAAAGGTTGCATCCTAACAATTGGCATTTAATTAAATAGGAGTGTCATTAAATGGAGAAAATGAGGATATACCATGTATCTTAGGAAATTTTAAAAGAAGCGAATTCATTGGAATAAATCATGCTTAATACCACCGTATTAGCTGTTAAATTCTTAAATAAAAAATTAAAATATCGAATTTAGAAGGCAAAAGCAATGGGTAATTGTAAAACATTAATGCAGTTGCCACCTAAAGATCAAATACTAATGATCTCACGCGAAACTGGATGTAAGTTCCATATTCCATATTAAAAATTTAAAACACTTTTGTTCATGAAAAATTGCTAAAAATTCCAGTTAAATTTGAGAATTTTTTTGTATGATAATATTTACGGTATGACAAGAATTTTGCAGCCTTCATTCATGAAAATTTAAAAACAAAAACGAAATTAATGAAAAATTCGAAGAATTTTTCAGTTACGAGACGACAAATTCTTCGTTTGCACACTCGTTTTTTATCACTTGATAAACAAGGTTTGGGCAAATATCTCTGAAGTGGTTTTAAATAACAGCATAGAATTAAATATAACAGCTTATTTTGAATCATACCTGTTCGATTATTTTAAGAAAATATAAATTATTATAATGCTTTGTCAGGCATACTTTTTAAGATTTTAACACATTTCTAAAGTCGAAATTGAGTGATGAAAAGGATTAAGCGAAAGTAGAAGATATAGACTTATCAATAATCTTTTAGAATTTAAATTTGAAATAATTGTTTTAAATGTTTTTCAAAAGGTATGATAATATAGCTGCACTGTAGCGGAAGTAATTAAGGTCGAGGCTACCTTGATCGAGATGATTTTTTTAACGTCCATGAACTCGAGCTGAATCCTCTTGGCGACAGAATTATCGACGCATTTTTTACAGAAAAGTTTGCTCATTTCATTCTCATCTTCTTTTAATCATACAAAAATGATAAATTAGCTTACGAAATTATCTTTCATAGCTATTTTTCATAGATTGCTATCTATTCATCTCTCCACTAAAAGAGGTAAAAGCCATGAAATCGACCTGCGAAACTCTCTTTTATAGTAACCTATCTTTCTACTAGAGAGACAGAAAGGAAGTATTCTGGAAAAAAAGATTTCGACATGCTTTATACATATTTCTGCAAGAAATTCATTTGCAATTTTTGACTCATAAATATAAATCTCATATAAATCTTATCTCATCTTAAATTCTCTTACACAAAGCTATTTGAATCTCCAATATTCTGAAATTTGTAAATTTGTTTTTTCTCTATTTTTTCGAATTTTTTTCCTCACGAACTAATTAATCAAATAAAATCCTTTCACCAGTAAATCTTACCAAACTACTCGTCCAATTTCAAGACGAATCGAGTGGCTTTAGAAGTTTTGAAATTTTACTAATTTCTTTAACTTATAAAATAAATGACCGATTATACCAAATTTAACTACTCTCTTGTGGAACCTTATGGTTGTCATTACATTTTGATTTAATAACATTTTAATTAGTATTTTTTATAATCGCATTTATAATATTTATTTGCGATAATAGCTATCGACTTTATGTAACTAAATAATGCTAATGATGATCTACTTTAAGGAATGATATCGAAAAGAAATTAACATTTCCCGAATTTTGTCAAGTCCTCGCTCATTTCAGGCCTATTATCGAAGGGAAAAATTCAGCAGTTAACAATCGAGAATCTAAATTACGGTGTATGCCTTCTCTCGAAATTTCACTTTTTTATTTATTTGGTCCTATAATTCTATGGTCGGAATGCAAAATACCTTATCATGCTTATGAAAATATTTTCAGTTGCCTTTGCGATGTATGATTTGGATAAAAGTGGATTTATTACTCGAAATGGATTCAAAGTAATATTAAGCATGATGGTTGGACCAAATATCACGCCTGAACAGGCTTTTTTTTAAACACATTGGAAACTTTATTAAAACATATAATTTTTTTAAAAAGCATGGTGTGAAACTTTTTTTTCATTGTCCAGCAATTTTATTGTGTGTGGTGCATGAGTGATATGTTTGTGTGCTTTGTTTATATATCTGGAAAAAGATTTGCTGTTCTCTTTTGTTGTTCAGCTGTTCTAAAATCTGTTAGCCAAATCAATCCTCCTTAACCTCCGGCAAATAGTGCATTCAGTTCTCTAAATTGTTATCTCTCTAAAATTAATAGCTCTTTTATTCAGGACGATTAGAAATTCTTCCAAGTCCTGTATGATCCTTCGAATTCGCCAATCTTCTCCTGATTTGCCTTTTCAATTTTTCTGGAACCTGCTGTAGCACTCTTAGTATTCCTCGAAATTAAGCTTTCCTTAATGCTTCATCAAACATCTACTATATACGATATACCATAACCCATTAGTAAAATTATTATCATAAACTTCCTTGTACCATCTTAAAATTTAATGGTCTCTCGATTGACAAGTTCTTTAGAATTTAATATAATTCTCCACCTACCATATTATATATCCTCTTATCTAATGTCCTCACATTAAAACACATTTGTGAGCTTCGTGAAACCTGTAATATTTAAAATCTATAAAAATTTATCTGCAATACTTGGCAGTTTCTCATACTATCTCCATCTTCTTAGGCACACTATAGTTCGTTGCAAGTACGGGATGCGCCTTAATCAAGTTGGTTTCAGACCAGGGCGACCAGATATTCACATTAAGAAGGGTTGGAACATAGTTTCAAGTATTTGCAACTCACTGTCACGTGTTTCATCGACTTTGTGGCGGCCTTTGATTCAATTGATAGAGCGGCGCTTTGGACAGTGATGGAACCTGACGATGTTCCAGAGAAAATCATTAGATTCATAAAGGCATTTTATGAGCGCACGTCGGCGCAGTTATGTATATGGGGAGCTGACAGATTTCTTCGAAATACGAACAGGTGTCCGTTAGGGTTGCGTCCTTTCTCTCACAGTATTCAGCTATGCGATAGACTAGATAATGACATTGCTTGTCGGCACTCAAGAGGTTTAATAATGTCCAAATTGGTCCAGAGCATTTTGAATACGCTGATGATGTAGTCCTTTTTGCTGATAGTTATGATAAAATGCAAATAATGCTAAATAACGTGTCAGCAACTGCAGCGAGAGTCGGACTCAGAATCAATATAAATAAAACGAAAGCCTTTTCGTCTTATGTGCAGGAAGCTGATAAAATCCGTCTTTTTGTAAATTCATTGCCGGTCGAGGGAGTGCCCGATTTCAAATACCTTGGGTCACTCTAATACCAAATCCACAGGCAAAAAACGATATTATAGCCCAGCAGCTAGAGATGCATTCTTCCGGTTGACGAAACCTTTATGGAGTCGTTTTGAAATCACCATAAAAACGAAAGACCGCATCTATATTGCCGTGATCCGTTCGATCTTATTATATGGTTCTGAGACATGGCCAATGAGAGTGGAGGATATTAAGAAGTTATCTGCCTTTGACCACTTTTGTCTAAGGTATATTTTACGGGTTTGCGGAGTGGACAAAATGGATAAAATGGATAAAATGAATGGATAAAATCTCACAAGATCGCATCCATCTTCGTTCAAATACCACTTGCATAAATAATGTTATCACAGAGCGCCGCCTTCGCTGGTTAGGGCACATTCTCCATCTTCCACCACAGGAGTTGATGCATATTTCGTTATTTGCTAAACCATGTGACGGTTGGCGTCAAAAGCGAGTGGGCGAATCAAGACCTGGACTGATGCGGTGAGAAAAGATTTTGAAATTAATATAGGTGAACCAGCAATATATGGACTTAGACGATGGAAAAAGGAATGGCTTCCATTACTGTCGACGATGGCATCAGACTGCGCCGCTTGGAAGCGTCTTACCCTTGTAGCCGTTGGAGTCAGCCTAACCAATAATGATGAGAGCTGTTAGAAAAAAAAGAAAAAAAGAAAAAAAATGGAACAATGAAAATAAGTCAAATATAAGAATTTATACCGAAATATTTTTTCTAAAATTTCAAGAAACAAGTTAAAGAAAAGAAAAAATTCAAAGCAGTTTTGAATGAGAAAGAATGAGAAAGATTTGATGAATGAATAACGAAAAAAAATGCTGTTAAGATGATTAAGATTTTCGCAGATTTATCACAAAAAAATGAAATCTTTGAATTTTGAACAATAAAAAACAATGAATCGTCTATGGCGCAATTTTATGCTTTAGTACAAAACTTAAAGTAATAAAAGAAGATATCGTTGATTGGCTTTTTTATCTTTTTGTTTAAATGGAATTAAATTCCTTTTATTTTTTGAATAAATTAAAAGAACCCATGAAAATATCAAAAATTATTTTAAAAATTTCCTATAATTTGAAAAATTTAAAATTTAAATTTAAAAAATATTAAACAATAATTTTATTAATAAAATAATCATAACATAATGATAAATTTAATGAAAACAATAATAAAATAAAATGAAACGAAACGAATTAAAATTGTGAAAAAGTGAAAAAAATATTTTACCGATAAAATTATTTGTTCGAAAGCAATTTTAAAATATTTTTAATTCTAATTTTAAAATATTCTTTATTTATAATAAATTTATTTATAATAAAATTTTGAAAATCAAGAAATCAAATCTTTTTAGAAATCAAAAAGATAAATAGGAAAATTATTTGATAAATTTAAATTTATCCAAATTTAAATTTATTAGTTTTATTAGATTTTATTTTCATCAAAATCATTTAAAAGAAATGAAATTTAGTTGAAAAGCCATTTGTCCCAGGGGAAAATCTAGTATATAAGGAGCATCGTTCAGCAAAAATAAACCAGGAGTGAACATTATTGAAGATTTAAAAATTAAAATAAAGGGATTAAATAGTAATTAAACGGCATATATAGCCCTTGACGATAAATTTATTAACAAAATGATTGAAAGAAATTTTATTTTAAATAAAAATAGAAGATTTATAACGAGTAATCAACCATTCATGGAATTCCTTAACTCAGATAAAAGAAAAAGTGTTCAAAAATGCTGATATATATATATATATATTCATTCATATAACTTATAAATTTATAAGGATCCTGAAATATTTACTGCATTCACTTTACTTTTAAAAAATTTTAGAAAAAAAACTTGAAAAAATAATCATTATGATAAATTATAATTATTGAAAAGAATGAAAAATTAGCGGTTGAGAATATTATATAATAAAATTAACAATCTTTAAAAGCAAATATTGAACACTAATGAAAAGCACATCTTAGGGATGAATAAAATTGTCTTCATAACCTTATTAAATATTCATCGCATACTCCCTGGTATCTCAAAGTTCACTGTATTTATTCTTTCAATCCACAGTTTTGACACTCGCCAAATCCCTACAAAGTCTCCTGCTTTAGCATTGCCATAGTCTCGATGTACTTCTTCGACACACTTCGTCATCTTATTAAATTTTAACTTTTGCAGTTTGCAACTTGTAAATGAAGTTTACAGTTGTAATAATTTAGTGTTATTATGAAATTTGATGTATTAAAGCAAAAAATTGGCCAGTGTTATTAAAAGCTAAATCAGTATGATTTAAAATAATGCATTAAAAAATTACAACAAGAAAATGCAGCGTCATTTTCGGACATAAAAGATTTTGCATAAAACATGAAAATTTTTACAAAGTCCAAATGGCTTTAGTATGGATGACTGAAGTGGTAGTTTTAAGGAATATCGGTGGAATAGGGTTTTGGTACCACTGCATGCCAGGTCCCATAGAGAGAAGTAATTGAGTTTGGAGCAGAAGAAATTATCTAATGGTGTTGAGGAAGGATTTTGATAAAACTTCCATTTGATTCTAATTAAATTAACGAATTAATCGCCATTGACAAATGCTAAATTCTTAGAAATAATCACTGAAAATAAAAATTTAGCAGTAATAGAGAAAATTTAAAAGAACTGATTTATCACGACGAACAAACTAATTATTTAACGACAATTCAGGATTTATGAATTATTTGGTTTATAAAAAATAAAATAAAAAGTTAGTATTTAAAATACGCCGATAGAAAATAAATGAAATATTCAGAGAAAAAACCCAAGTTTGTGACAAATTAACGATGACCGAGGAGTATGATTGCTTCGATTTGCGTCGAGCATCAAAGGTCCGATTCTTTGCTTGGAAAGGCATAAAAGTGCCATTTAGAAGCAACCATGCGCTGGCAAAAAAAAAGCCTTCCCATACTTCTATTGCCGAGTAAAAACTTCTGAGCACCGTAAGGCAGCAGAACGAACCCAATTAAAAATGGTAAGCGCTAACCATTTAGTTTACTTATTTTAAAAAACAAAAAATATTATCAAAACAATTTGCAAAGAAGGAAAATCAGGAATGGAAAAATTTAATTGACATTTGAAATTTGACAGTGAACACAATATGTCACAATTTATCGATATTTCCTTGTCTCATCTATAAAAAATAAATAATTCAACGGATTGTATCCGAAACAAAATAATTCATTCGGTAATTCTCGTATGCCAAACGTTGAAATTTTATTAGTACGTAACGGCTGGGGATAGAATAGCTCAGTGGGTTGTTGCTCAATTTGGAGCGCCGATGTTGAGGTTAGATTTCTAGCAGAAGTAAACCATTACAAAAGTCCGGGTATTGCTGGCGACTCGCCTGTATTTCTATCTCCAAAGGGACTATTTGGCACCTTGTCCAATGCGACAAGCCAGTGGTGAAGCGAGTTTAACCAGTAATGGTGAGGACTCTTAAAAAAAAAATTGCCTGCCGAGGAATTAAAAATCTGAATGGTGTTGGCTCTCCACTTCTATTTCTATCATTAAACGACTCGTTGACGAAAATTTCGTATCGTATAAATAATCAACGGAATAAGAGTAATCAGAAATAATGCTTATTCGTTTAGTAAACGAAATCTTTCATTTTTCGATGTAAAATTAATATTTTATTGCTC